AGCCAGGTCAGCCTTGCCGCTTGGTCAGTGAGTATTCCACATCCAACCCCTGCCTCAGCAGCACAAGGAGCTCTGTACCCAGCTACCTCGAGAAAGGGTTAAAAATACTGAGAACAAAATTCACATTTACTTCAAGTGTAGGTAATTCTATTAAATATAAATATTGCTGAGACCCTGTTGGGAAAAAAAAACCCACAACTTTCTGTTTGGAGGTGAAGCTGCTTAACAGCCTTCACCGAGCTGGAGTTGGTTTGTAAGCCCAGACAGGTAAATTCCAGCTGCAGTACCAGTGAACGAACTGGGAACTCAAGTTTAAAATGTGACGCTTTGTGGAGCAGATCCCCACCACGAAGTGCGGTCCGTTAGCAGACGCTGTCTGACTGACGTGCGGTACTGCCTCTACGTTTGTTTGTGAGCGCACTTCTACTGCGTTTGGAAGCCAAAGCTGCCTCTGAAAATTGGTTATTTTACAAGTGTTTGCACTTTTTTTTTTAATTTAGTATCTGTCTTGGGACTAAAACCAGCCTTAATGCTGATGTTTCTATTGACCGGTTTCCTCTGCAAGACACAAGCTGAGCCACCCAGGCACTTCCCATCACTGAGCTTGTTAAACGTGCACGAAAACCAAGAAGGGGAGGCCAAAACAAGAAGCCCACAAAAAAACTAACCAGGCCAGGACTTCACCACCTTCAGTAGCGCCAGTCCCCCGCAGACAGCAAAAAGGGAAGCGCCTTCACCTACAGCAGCACTCTTACGGCCCAGGAGAGGTTTGTGTAGGGCCCGAGGGCTGGGGCAGGAGGCCGGGCAGCCTGCAAGTCCTGGCGTCCCACAGCCACGGCCTGGACATCAGCAAACTGATCTCGCCACTTCACGACACAGAAGTGGTGTCATGGAGTTTGGCGATAACAACACGGTACTTTCAACTCCAGAATTTGGGTGAGGCAAAAAAACCCCGCGTGAATAAGCAGTCCGTGTGCGTTGGCACGGCAGATGCCACAGCCCTGCCCCTGAGGTTCCCCTTGGAGCTGCACCCACAGGCGCCAGGAGTGCCGGGGAACCCATCTCGTGCAGCAGGGAGGAGCCGGGCTGAGAAACAGCCTCTGCCTCGGAGTTGAGGCTGGATGGAGAAGCGAGAGGGAGGAGGCCTGGATGGGAAACCTGGGAAGGGGCAAGGGAAGGCTGGATTTGGTTATGCTCACAATAGTAGCAGCTCATGTGTAAAGACAGGTAAGACTGCAGTGGGGCTCGACTTGATCCTTCTCCCCTGGTCCTTCAGCAGAGCAGAGAGGCAGGCTTGGCTCCAAAGGGTACCCAGCCAGGAATTTTCTGTGTTTCAAAGAGAAAAAAAGTTTCCAATTTCTCATCTGAATGGCCCTCTCCAAAACAAAACAAAGCCCAGATGACTGCCCTGAGCACTGAGGCGCAGGCAATCCGTACAGCAAGCCACCGGGTATGATTTTAGAAGATGCAGTGAGTTACACTGTACGGAGGAGTGGGGAAAAAGTGTCACGTTTTGAGCCTATCCAGGATGTGACGGTGTATACAAACACAGATTCAAAAGTGAAGAAGAGCTGATCCGCCATCCTGCTCCACACAGCTTTTGTACGGGTCAGCACAGGCAGCTGCGCTGAGCTGAGCACGCGGCCCAAGTTAAGGATCCTGCCGTGGCTATAAACTCCATTTCCCTTGCCTGCGTCGGTCTGTGGTTCTGCTCCCGAATTCCCCTTCATTTTGTATTTGCTGAACATTCTGAAAGACCTTTATAAAGCTACGCAAGAGGACACAGCTCCTTACGATTATCCCACTGAACTGCAACTGCAGTGATGGGGAACCTAAAGCAGACCCGCTCGTGTCACGTTCCGAGACAGCAAGGTAACCGCGTGGGCACACACGCACCGAAGTATTTACACTGAAGTTGGGACTGGTGCACACTTTGGGGAATTTTTGGTGCATTTGAGGAAATAACTTACGGGTCTTGGCATACTGACTGTACTTCTATGTATAACTTTTCATTCACAGGGCAACTACAGTGTTTCTTCTATAAGTCTCTATATGTACAGAATTTTACAGCACCTCATGCACTGTCCAAACAGATAGAAATTACAGATAAATATAGAATTTTTAGATTGAAATATCTGTATATTTAGAAAAATATACATTAGTAAACACAATAAACCTGGTAGAGAAGTGTACCAGTTCTAAAGTCTCACATGCAGGTACGTTTCTGGATCAAGTCGTGGTAGCTTAGTGATGTGATAGCCAACATGAGCATTTTTTGTTTTACCATCCACATACATACATATACACAGACAACTATTTGATAATTTACTTTTCTAAACTACTTAAATATTTATCTTGTGATACATACCACATGTCTTAAACATTTAGCAGCATCTTCACCTCGCTCAGACACACCTATTGTTATAATTAACAGTCACTGTAAAAAGTTGTCCTGTTAATATCTGGAAAAAGAACGTTTAGTACAGATACATGAAATCCTAGTTATTTTAACTCCTCCGAAATAGTTCAAAGAGAAATATGAAATATTTTCACTTGCTTAAAACTAGCCTTTCATAGTGCTTTCTCCCCTGATTGCACAATGTACAGGTCTCCAGCTAACACCTGATGCAGCACGCCCTGACAGGCAGAGACTGTCACCGCTGTGTGTGACTGAAATGGCACCATCATTTCATTCCAAAAACCTCCAAGAATGCTTGTTTTATAAAAAAACCACCAAAAAAACCCCACAACACCCCAGTCAATCTCATTCTAGTCATCCTACCAGGCAGTGACAAACTAAGCAGAATATCTGATGAAAATCTGATTTTGCTAAAAACCAAAACCAAACCCAACCCACCACCACACCACCTACCTGCCAATCTGAACTCTCCCCTCTCAAGGTTTAATGAACAGGCGCAAGGACTGTGGTGTTTGCGATACTTTTTCCCCCTTCCAGCTTGCACGTGGACAGCCAGTTAAAGCCTGCAGCCACTTTGATACGACCTTTGCGTGCAACCTAAGCAAGTCACCTCCTGGTACTGCTCCAGAACCGTACTCCTCGCTAGCATCGACGTTGCCAACACCAAACGGTCGGACACTGGGCCCCGCCGTGCTCGCTGCCGGATTTGAAAACACTGCGTGATCCTGCAGCGAAAGCGGAGACCCGGCTACGGGAGCTGCTACCTCGGGAGGCTCTTTCGGCAGTGCCCTCCCTGGGACGGGCACAGAAGGAGCAGAGGGGTCCTCCTGGCCAAACCCCGGTGCCCTGTGTTTCACTTGGTTAAGTAAATTTATGGGGGGGGAAAAAAAAAAAAAAGATGAAAACAAGTGGTATTTGCAATATAAAGTACTACAATGTGGAAACTGAAGAATCTCCTCATTCCATTCGTTAGGGAAGAGTGAGCTCAGCCCACTTTTGGCATCACAAGTAGAGTATTTTCTAACTCGTACTGAAAAGGCATCATATCTGTCCAGACAGCATATCTTATTTACAGCATCCGTAGGTCTCCTATGACGCAGGACACACACAGTTTAGTCACCTTCAGCATCTAGTGCCAACAGCAAATCATTACAATAGCCAAGCAACGGCTCTGCTGGCATTGCTGCTACGTCCAGTACCTGACCTGTTTCTCAGAGCAGCCTCTGAGTGACAGCATCGCAGAACACGTCCCCTGGGAAAGGAAAATAAAAGTCTCATGCTGGTGCCACATTTAAAAGCTCTGCCAAACTTAAACAAAATCAGAGAAAACACATCCTGAAGAGTATAACAATAAAACAAAGTAGTGGTACAAGTTTTCCTTAGAGAATTTCAGATTCCCTCTAAAAGACTGAAATCTCAGTATGAAGAGCCACCAACGTTACCCGTGCTATACACAGGTTCAACTAACTTTTTCCATCTACGCTGGGATCTCAAGCCCCCCCGCCCCTTTGCCCCACAACCACCAACTTCACGGGCTGTGTAACAACCACCTGTAGTACACGGGGGGTTTTGAGGGTTTTTTGAGACTTACATTTTTCCTATACCGCGTCAACGCCCTTTTTCTTTGCCTCATGCACATGAAAGTCTTTAAGAGCCCCAGGAAGCAATACTGTTTTACAGTGTCTAAGCCTCTTTTCCTTCAGAAATAGTTCTGAGGAAGTTGCCTTTTGATAGCATTCCGTGTCACACTTTGGTGTGGAAAAAAGAATTCAGAAGCCAGGTGCCTGTCACCAGATGGAAGAGAAATCAAACAAAGAGATGATTTCAGTTTAGACACCTAACCTGGTAAGTGATGACGAACGTTCCTATATACAACAGCTGACAGTACAATACAAAGTATGGTCACAAAAAGAGCTAGTCTTAGCGACAAGCTATATTCTCATTTTGTTCTTGTTAAACAGAAATTTACATCAGCGTAAGTTTTGATCGATGGACTTGAACCCAACACGAGTTATATCCATGAGCCTACTATGGGCAGAATTGCCACTGAATAAAAGGAAATACGTTGTAAAACAAAAAGGTATAAACAACATTGCTTTTTTAGCGCTAAGCTTCCAATTCACAAGCTATCTAATGAAAAATGCAATTGAAAACGATGTTAACAAAAAGCACAGAAATTCCATTACATCACACTCAAAAATACAGCAGTTGATCACACACAAGTATTCAAAAAGATAATATAGAACCCAGCTAGATATCTCAGGAAATTAAGCCACAGATCACTATACAAATATCAAACAACGTCCTAAGAAAAGAAAATGCCCTTTTTTTTTTTTTCTTTTTTTAAAGCAATGTGTTTTCACAAGTGTGACTAAATAGTCCTAAACATTAAGTGTCACTCTACAAGGCTCCGCGTTACCGGGTTCTCTCTCAGGCTACGTCACCGTGTTCGAATTGCACTGAAGGACCTTGCGCACGAGCGTGCTAACGCCAGCCCTTCGGCCGTGCCGGGCTGACAGGCTGGCTCCCACCCGCGGCCTCGAGCAGCTCGCAAGGTGTTGCTTTACGGTATTTTGAGAGACGCGTCTAAGGGAACCTACACAGCAGTTGTCTAAATCAAGAGACACCAAGAATTTGTGAAACATCCAGAATGCACCAACATCAAGCCGAAAGAAGCTGGAGCAATGGAGCTGTGTGTTGGTTGCTGCTTTTAATACTCAAAATTCTGCTCCCATGAAATTATTATTTTTTTAAGGAAGAAAAAAAAAAATGAAAGAAATTAGTGTTCTTTCCTAGTAAGAGCTATAGACTTTTGACCAGTTAAGCACTGACGTTAACAAGTTTTACAAAAATTGTTTCAAGTATCTTTCTTTAATCACAGTGAAAATGTAAGACCAAGATGTAAATGTTGAAGTGAATGACTGAAAGTTTCTTAGATGAAGAAGGCAAAGGTACTAAATCAAAACATATAAAAATGCTTAAACGCATTTCCTTCATGTGATATGAATAGAAAGGTTATCTGTAAAAAGTTAGAAAAATTAAAATAAATTACATATTTAAGTACACTTTCCCTTCAACATTTTTATAAAAATTCAGAATAGTGTACTTTTTGAATATACACAGAGTAAAAATGCACGGGTGCCGTAGGTTATTGTCGGTATCTACACAACGTCACATTAGCATAGGTGCTGCGGTTGGTTTTGTTTGTTACTTCAGCTCCTCTTGAGAAATCTCAATATACCCAGCTAATTGGGACCCACTGCGGTTCCAGCCTCAGTCTCTCGATAGCAGTCTGTAGCTTCTCGAAGGCTTTGTCCAGGTTGTCATTTACAATGGTCAGATCAAAATAGTGGTTGTAGGCTCTCTGGATCCGTGCGCTTTCGTCCACTGTTTTTTTCAAATCGGTGTCCTGTCGAAGAAATCTTAAAGGTTACTCACAACGTTAGAGGTGGCAAATCCTTATCAATACCAATACGTACCCTTCGGTACGAACCGGCCACGGACTGCTTAAAGCTACGTACTGCACAGCCCCTCACGTGGTTAAGAGAATGGGATCTCGCAGGTTTGAAAAGAAACCAAAAAAGACTAAAAATCCCATGTTCATTTAGTGAAAATTAACCCACCCCCCATTTAATTGCGTTGAATGCCCCATCAGCATTACACGAGCTGCTGCTACTGTCCAGGCCGCAGCACTATCGTTGGGAGTTGTCAGCCAACCAAGGCTTTTGTCAGGTGGGGAGGTTGTACTGCTGAGCGTGACGGATAGTTCCTTAATTGCTCAATCCGACTCGCCTTGCTTTGGTCCAGCAGCGGGACCAAAGTTCAGAAAGTTCAGCCCCGTACAGAATATTCAGACTTTGCGGCGCTGGAGGAAGCGTGTCTCATCTCCCTCTGCTACGCACTGCGTCTCAGAGAAGGAGGGAAGATCTAACGAATAAAATGTGCCGCTTCGCTTTCCGTGACACATCCAAGGAACTTAAAGGGAAGAGCAGCTCTTCAACACTTCTTATTCTGGCAGCTCCCAGCCATTCTCAGTGCTGCTGCAGCAGGGGAAACAAGGCCTAGGTGCATTCTGTTGGTGGGTTTTGGTTTTTTATGCAGGCTGCAGTATCTTCCCTAAGGATTACAGATTTCATTTTTAAAGCACACCTATATTATGTGACAAACCTGAACGGAACTTTTTGGGGGAAGAGATGGGGAAAGTGAAAGAAAGGCATTTACATAAAAGAACAATTCCCACCATCAAATATCTACCATTTGCAGCAAAAAAATCAAAGGTGACACTTCCCAAAGAACATGTTACAAGTAATTTTTGTAATCAACACTTCTCTGTAAGAGATCTATTTTTAAGAAAGAAGCAATCTGCCTTATACACAGTACTTGATTAACTTCTACTAAGTAATCAGCAAAAGCCTTGCCTAACTTTTCTTAGAGACATTAATTTCAGAACAAATTCCACCTAAAATGAAGGGTAAAAACCAAAAAAATATATATCTAAGAACATCCTGTTCAAAGCAAACTAAATATGAAATAATCTGCTTACAGTGAGAAGTTTGGTTGTAATTCCAGCATCTACCACAGCCTTGTGCATAGCCCGCAAAGTCTCCAACTCTGGAGCAGCAATAAACACTACATAGGGCATGAATTCTGAAGTCCTCAGTATTTTCAGGGCCTAGAAGCAAAGAAAAAAAACAACCCTCAGTGAGAATGACTTGCCACATGTACACGTCCCCATTAGCTAAGGGGCACTGCAAAACTAGTCTGTTACAATGGGCAGAAACACATAAGCAAAGATTCTTATTTCCATTCGAGAAACTCCTACGCTGTCTTTGGAAACGCTGAACATCATTCTCCCCCTGGGTGAAAAGATGGTTTACGGCTCTGCAAGACTCTTCTTCCATGCAGAACCCAAGTTGGTTTTTTTCCATCTTGCAAACTCATTCCAAGTTTGCCTCAAATGCAAGAACCCAGTTGGTATGACAACCTTTAAACCAGATCAGAAGCCTTCAAGTTTAAAGGCACAGCTCTTCAGCACTATCCTCCTACCCTGGTAGCGCAACGTTACAAACGACGTACCTGTGGATTCACGTCCAAGATGCAGGTCCTTCCTGTCTGAACAACTTCAAGGATGGAATCAATTTTGGTGCCATAAAGATTTCCTTCATATTCCCCATGCTCTAAATATCTGCCAGCTTTAATATCCATCTCCATTTCAGCTCGCGACACAAATCTGTACGCTTGCCCATCCTTTTCATCGTCTCTTGGCTTCCGTGAAGTAACTAAACAAAAAATTTAAAATGGAGCGTTTTCTTTTTAGATTTGGGATACAAATATGAGACTGGACTGCTTATTGAGTTAGGGAGAGTATAATACACATTAATACACAATTATAATTGTTCCACATACAGATTAAGTAATTATTCTAGTGTACATTTCAAAACTGAGCACAGCCCCTCCTGTTCCCTTTATTTCTATTCTTTCCTATGTCGCTTACCCACTCATTTCTTTATTTCCTTTGTATTACTCCTTCACACCACATACAATACTCATTCATGTCATCTTTTTAATTATTCACTTAATTATTTAAGTGACTTGGGAATCAAATGGAAGATGCCTTAACAGTTCAGCTATCCACGCTGAAGAGCAAACACAGCACCATTTGCTGGACGAGAGCTCAGCACCAAGGATGTGTTTCTCCCCATAGCAAAATGGATCCGTTTCAACCATTTTCAAAACAAACAAAAAAAACCACACCCCCAAACCAAAACCCCACACATATTAATTTGTGAATAACCAGGAGAATTTCCTTCTAATCAAAGAAACTGAGGCCAACTAAGACTACTGATTATCCTACTTGAAATCTAAATCTAAAGTAGAGAGGAGATTCTATATATGATAAACTATGTAGTGCACGTACATGACGAGACTATTAGATTGCTAGGTTGAAAAAATTAGTTTTTATGCCTTTGAAGCGTGTTCAAGAGCTACAAGTAAAATCATTTTTACTTGATATATCATGTTATATGTGTTATGTGTTGCATTACTTATATATGTATTTAAGCATCTGTATAGCATTTTAGAGAAATGTGTTCAAGAGCTCCAAGTAAAACCATTTTAACACATATAACATGATATATCAAGTAATGTGTTGCATTACTTATATATATTTAAGCATCTGTATAGCATTTTAGAGAAACCAGTACTTTTGGGGGCTTTTTTAAAAGGGAATAAAGAATTTTAGAAGTAATAAAAAGCTGGCTACTATTTTGTCATTATAAGATAATGACATTCCCTGGGGAAGAGTTCTTTAAAAAAGTAACACCGAGAAGTCAGCCTTGCTGTCAGTCACACATACCGATTCTTAGCGCCCTGGCCAGTTTTGGTGTTAGGAGATTCAGCAAGTGAGACAGACTGCTTCTCTCGTGTTGCACAATTTATCTTTCAGACCAGTCCTTCCACCCCTATTATCAGATCTACTTCTTGCTCATTGAAAACAGAAAGGAACAGATGGGTTTTGAAAGTCTGAAAAGCAGGTGGCAGGAGGAGAATAATAATGTAGCTGGGGTGGACTTCCCTGGTCAGCAGTCAAACAGGAGGGGGCAGTTAAACAAGATCTTGTGAATGAGCAAAGTAACTACCTGGAAGGAAGGCAAGAAAATGACACTTCAGTAAGGGAGGAGGTTTTTTCTGAAGCTGACAGAAAGACAGACAGACCATGGGCTGGAGGCTAGATGTATTAAAACATCAGATTATCGTACAAATCTTGGAGATCACGAACACTTCAGTTTTACTGCAAGTTTGTTGCTTTTCCCTACGTTTCTAATACTAAAGTAACTATTTATAATGCCTAGGGTGCTTCTACAGATGGAAAACTAAAGGGCAGATGTGAGAAACTCCACTGGCTGTTCATTACAGAAAACTACTAGGAACTTCTAGACTCCCCTCAGTTAACTGATGGTGAGACTGTCACTGAAGAAACCTAGCAGACTGAGAGGCTGCACATATAAAAATTGTTTTCCTGCAGCATTAGTAACATTTAACTGCTAGTTACAAATATTTGCACTGTCATCCCATGTTAGTTCAGTTGTCTCAGAAGATGAAGAACCTTTTGTCTTCCTAATCCATACAATTTTTATGTTCTGACAAAATTACTCCTACTCAGAATCACTGGAATAAACATCAGGTATTTTCCAGAAAATCAGAGACTCAAAGTATGAAATTACAATAGGAATGCTGACAACTTACATGGCACTGTAGTTCCAAACCTAGTAGGATTCAGTACTATGAACCTGTTCTTCAAACTTCTTCGCCCCACGCCTTGGGCCCCAATTAAGACCAGTGTTTTCCTCTGAAAAGGAGGCATTTTAGCTACTTCCTCATAGATCTGGATTTCATGACGATCAAATTCTACATTGAGAAATGTACAAAAACAGATAATACACAGGCAGTACTGTAAGGAAAAAAATTAAGCAGTCCTGCTATATATCAACAGACCACGTGTGATTATAAATAGTACTTGAGTGCAGCAAGTCTGATGCAAGCTTCCTTGCTTTAAATCAGTATGGGAATAAAATAGTTACCCCTTCATGGACAGAATAAGGTCAGAGTATTACCTTTACTTCCAAAGAGAAAATCTGAGTTTGATCAGAACCGTGATTGACAGTTAGTGAGCTTTTACAGAATCACAAAATGGTCGAGGTTGGAAGGTTCCTCTGGAAGTCATCTGGTCCAACCCCAGCGCTCAAGCAGTGCCACCTGGAGATGGTTGCTCAGCACCACATCCAGATAGCTGTTGAGTGTCTTCAAGGAGGGAGACACCACAACCTCTCTGGGCAAACTGTGTCAGTGCTCGGTCACCCTCACAGTGGAAAGAGTTTCCTGGTGTTCAGAGGGAACCTCCTGTGTGGCTGCTTGTTGCCTCTGGTCTTGTCACTGGGCTCCTCTGAAAAGAGCCTGGCTCCGTCCTGTTTGCACCCTCCCTTCAGGTAGTTACACACATTGATGAGATCCCCTCAGCCTTCTCTTCTCGAGGCTGAACAGTCCCAGCGCTCTCAGCCTTTCCTCATAGGAGAGATGCTCCAGTCCTTTCATCACTCACCTTCATATGTCCCTGTCTCTCCTGCACTGGGGAGGAGCCCAGTACACTTCAGGGGTGGCCTCACCAGTGCCAAGAAGAGGGGAAGGATCTCATTCCTCAACCTGCTAGCAACAAAGCTTTCGCTTTTTTTCCCTCTTTTAACACACAATTCTTCTCCACCTACCAAAACATGTACTCAGCACCATCATATCTTCACTGGTCACTATCGCTTTCAAACCATAAAAACTATCTGATCTATCAAATTCATAATCAAATATTTTACTGCGAATATTTCAGCTTTGGATACGCTAGACACTGCCAGTTTAGAAGCCTAGAGAGAACTTTGACTTATATGTAATATTAAGAGATACCTGCATTTCTTGTAGTGAGATACATCATCTTTTTCTTTTTTTTGCTGCTTATTGTTCCGCAGAAAGGCCCTAGAAAGAAAAATCGAGACAAACTCATAATCTTTGTTAAATGCGTTTTTCTGAAGCTTATTTACATGAACATATGCGAGTTTAGATTCATTAAATTTACAAGGACTATTTTAGAACTTTATATATTCCAGGGCAGGAGATCACATCTATTTTCATACACATCAAATGGTATAGTAAAATCCAAATACAGAGAAAAAATTAATTTTCCTAGAAAGCTCTGTAAAAAGCAGCAAAAAATTCCAAACAGGTTTAATTCATTAACTGCATATTATAAAAACATAATTTAAAAAAAGAGCTAATTCTTATGCCTTTCCCACCTCATTTAGCTTTTCAGCAGCAGGTGATTTATGTCCCTGTGAAGACTAAGCCTAGGCTTTAGCCTTTGTCCTTCAGTCAAAGCCAGAATACAATAATGAGCATTTTGCAATATTCTGTGTATTCTCACACAGCAGTTTTCTAGTATCTATGAAAGCAGGATAAGCAAAACAAATGGAGTCAGAGCAAAATCTGTTTCTGAAATTCATTACATCTCACCTGAGTTGTCCCAGTCCCTCCTAACAAAGGCCTTTCTCTTCTCTTCCAAGAACTGGCTAGGAATAAGCCCTGCACTTCCTCCTTCTTTGACATGACTAGCCTAGGAAAAAATAAAAATAAAAAAATCATAGGTAACTTGTGAGAAAGATTTTTCTCATGGACATGGTGTTGACTGACTTTCACACTGCCAGAGTTTCTCAAAGATGAGTATTGATACATTTACTACTGAGACTTGGAAATGCAAACTCAGATGTGGATAATACTATAATCCTGTCTTACACTAACAGTGTCTTGCCATTGCGTATTAAAATTCAGGAAACTTAAAATAGACACAAGTTTCATTACCAGTTCCCATTAAGCTAGTAAGCTCCTATAGCCATAAACCTTTGGCAACAAAATCCTAAATGGAATTCTATGGCTCCAGACATTGAGCTCTCAAATGACAAAACTCAACACTTTCTGGTACACAGTACACTCCTTTTGTACCCCTGAGCTGCTCCAAACAGGTTCACAAGCAGTGAATGCCATTAACACGTGCCTAATCGTGCCTTCAGGCTTTTTGCACCAAGCAACTACCAGCTTTAAAATCTTAGTAACTTAAGTATTCCTGGTAATTAAAGTTTGGCTAAGATTCTCTACAAAACAATTTCATGGAAAGCTCCATTCTCGGCACGTTTAACACACACAAACACTCGGTTACACAATGCTACACTTTACTTCTCCGTAACTGGTTGGCCTGTCTCTTGCCAACAGGAACTGTTTACTTTTCAACTTATATGCTTTTACCTATGACTAACTGAATTTGTACAGTTCACAAGTTTTCAGTAAGTCTAGCATTTCTAGGGAGCATAAGGAAAAACTAACTTTTTCCCAGTGGCATAATCTGCATAGCAATACTTGCAACACACTATACTGCTTTAACACATTCCGTCTTTGCCTCTGATCGAGTGTTGAAGATTTAAGTTTTATTTCTCCTGGACTCCCACAAGTTACAACTGGAGAATTGGAAAACCAATACTGAAGACAGCACGGAAGCTAAATGTCAAACTGCTCCAGAGTTTTAGAGTACGTAACTTCTGAAACTAATTAACTTGGCAGTAATACATTCTCTGCCTTCCCTCACGGTTTTTATTCTCTTTCTTTCTGTTATTACTGTCACTGGCAAGCAACAGAATTCAGCAACAGTTGTTGATGTATATTCAAATTTTTTTGTTGCTTTTAAAGAAGTCATATGTATATTGCTCTCAAGTAATGTTTGGCTCACTGTTGCTTGTTATCTAGCAAAGGGTGAACAAGTTATGGGTATAAAGGGAAATTAATAACGCTCTTTGCCTAGACTGCCACTGCCACTTGCAATTTTGAGTATCTCGGTCAAGAAAAGTGTCTTAAGGGTTCACCCATCCCACTTTCAAAGGCACTGATGACGTTCAGTTTTGTTTATCGTGTCTTGGAAAAAATAAAAATAGCATAAACACTGGATTACATTTCTACTCAAGGCCTGAATGTAGAAATACAACCTTAAAGCAGGATGAACTGTTAATATTTGAAATAGTGCCAAACACCTTAAGAACACGCATGTTACAGCTCACAGAGATTGACCACCACTGTAGAAATAAAAGATGCAGCTTCTCCAAATGGCAATTCTCACCCCTCTTCAAATCCACAGGCTTAATTTCCCTCTCTCTCTCTCTCCTCAACTCTGAGCACTCAGGAAGGGGTCCACTTCTTCCACAGTCACTATCAGGGAAGGCTTACCACAACTAACACAGCCAGCCTAAGACCTTCTGCTAGAAATCAGTAACTTAAACCAATTTTGGAATGTCTAGGCTTACGATACAACAACAAAGACAAATAAATAGCAGTAATAGCAAAACGAGTGCTATACATACAGTTTATACCATTCCATTCTCTCTAGTATTTCAATTGTTAGCATCTTGATATTAGCTCGAAATTGGATTGCACTGTAAATATTTTTTTCTTGTATCTACTGTTAACAGAAAGTAGATCATAATTTAAAAAGTTTATTGTTAAGGCAACTAGAAAAACTTTTTGGTTTTTTATTTTATTTTTTAAATCTTTTTACCAACCTGCCACCAATTTGGATCTTCCCGGTTTACAATCTGAAGAATTTCTCCTTTAGAAAATTTCAAACCTGCTTCTTTGCAAGGGATGAGGTTGTCATTATATGGATTATAATCAAAATGACACTTCACAAAAACCTGAAATGTGTAAAAATTTACAAAGCTTAAACGTTATAAAATACATTCTTACTAATTTATCTGTGAAACTGAAGTAATGTCTTTACCTACAGCACAAAAAGTCTGATCAAAGTTGCATTTGGCAAGTAAAATAGAATCTATGGGGAAAACTGGCACATACCAGCTGAGAAAGGAGAATAATCAGCAATGCAAACCTTGGCTGAAGGAGCTTCATGATAAAAATAAAACCCCAACTGTTCTATTTGGACAATGTATTGCAAAACAATCCTTTTTGCATTTCAGTATACACAACTCAGTATTCTGACTTTAAATTACTTTAAAATATAAAAAAATTCTCAGAATGTGAGCACTGTATTCAAGGCTTGTGGAATCTTCAGAATTAAGTCCGCCATTAACTCAATGTTTTACAACAAGATAGGCGACTGCTTAAGACTCAAAGTTGATGGAGGGGAAGAAACAGTAAGTTGCATCAACAGACTGGAAACACCTTTGACTTTTTTCTACCAGGTCAGGGAGCAAAGGAAGCAAACACAGCACATTCCCTCAGCACCTGCCCGCTGTAAGCATTGTCTGTTATAGTCACGGGCATTAAGACCCACTACCTGAAGGAACAGCTTATAAGCTGTTTCAAAGGCACTGATTTAGAGCAACACGTTACTTCTGCAGTGCAGAAATCAACAGCCTACAGCAACAGGACAAAGGATAAGGAATAGCCACCGCACAAGTTCCTACTTCAGCCAGCGAGTCCAAGAGCATCTGTTGAATTCAGTATGTTTCTGACTGCTGTGAACAGATCACTGGGGCACTGACCCTGTTAGAAACATGTGCAGTTCACTGCAGTTTAGTGTGATTGTGGCTAGGTCATCAGAGGTCACTGGATGTCAAAGAAACATGCTTTATATGGAGTATACAAATGCTTATCCATCTTAGACACTGATTAGAATTTTTTAGGCAGGCATATGAGGTGTGGTGTTAATCTACTGAATAAACCCATTTCCAAAATGCATGTAAAGGTGAATACAGGTATCTACATTTTAGCCTTCCTGTTATCATTAAAATACACAATGAAAATATGTCCAATCCAAACTCTTAAAATAATCTTACGCAATAAAGTACCAAGCAGGAGTTCTTCTGACAGAATTGTTAGAAATGTGCTACTGACCTGTTGAGGAATAACAGTGTCTCTGTAGCTTGGGAGAATCTTCAGAGTGACACTGCCACTAATATTTTTCAGCAGTTCCTGCAATTCTTTTGGATTGTTTCCAACCTCATGGCCATTCACTTCTTTAATAATGTCACCTACATGCAGAAGACCTTGTCGATCTATCATTCCACCATGAAGAATCCGTGCTATTACCAGATCATTGTTCTCAACTCTAAACGTAACGCCCTGAAAGAAGCATGTGACACCTAGTTTACCACTGTTCGAATTTCAATTTCATTTTACCATTATCTCAAGCAAAAACATACAGCTATGAGATATTCCATCTACCTCAATAAAAACAGCCAGCAATAGTGACTGCAGTGTAAGAGTTCCTAATACACAGGTAAGCGTCAGGTGACACAGAAGTGCTTTCAGACAAGGTTTCATACGACTGAACAAGGACTGTACCGCTCTTGATTGCACGCAATCCTGTCATTTTTTACCAGGACCAAACAGATGTTGTGTTAGTCGGTTACGCTAGCAAGTCATTCAGCCCAGTGACTGCTTATTCACTATCCCGTAATCTCTTAAGAGAATAGGATGGAGAACAAACAAGTATCTTTTTATTTCAACCTCTCAATACTGATCCTACCACCCATTAAATTACAGAAGACAATAATGGAAGTAATTAAAACATACCTCAAGAAACATGCAAATGTTTCACTCACACTTTTAAATTAAAGACGCGCTCATCTTCAGTTACTTACCAGTGGTTCTCCTGCTCTTTTGTGAATTCCAAGGATACGAATAGCATCTACTGGAACAACCTGGTTGTTCACTGAAGAATTATTGACTTCTGGGCTAGAAGGAGGGGAATCATAACATTTTGAAGCCACAATATCATGTGCTTCCAAGAGTGACTGCAAAAGAACAGAAAAAACCTTTTTTAAAATCATGAAATAACCATTTGCAAACGGATTTAGTGCTGAATAACCACTTTTGGGGCCAGATCATAAAACTCTTACTTCACAGGGAATGGAGAAAAAAAGTGACATACAAGTGCTCACACGGACTGATAAGCCTACTGTCTTGGCAATATATGCTCTCTTTTGTATGTACAAATTCTTCTTCTTAAGTAACTATAGGAGAAATGTAATGAATTTGGGAGGAATGTGTGCTCTTGCAGGGAGGAAGATGGAAAAGGAGTACCTAAAAGAGTCTTAAGAAGTGTAATGAATTTGGGAGGAATGTGTGCTCTTTCAGGGAAGAAGATGGAAAAGGAGTACCTAAAAGAGTCTTTCATCTAATGAGACAGTATCCGAGCAAATGGTTAAAGTAAACGAACAATCCACTACAAAAAAATGAAGATAACTTATCATTAGATACTTGTGGTTAATGTAACAAAATTTTCCTCCACAGTAATTTGGATAATTATAGGTGTGCAAGGATTTCTAGCAATCTGCAGAATGAGTGCTTTCTGCTCGCGTAAAGCCAAGGCAGAATTCCAGCACGAAATGAATCCAAGTTGACAGAATTCACTTTCTGGAAGACAAGAGCTCAGACCCTATAGTTAATGGCGTTTTCACCAGTCCACATACATAAATACAAAGTAAGAGGAGGAGATCCAAATAAACAGAGTCATCTTCGGAAGGCAATGCAATTTAGACTTGATTTTCTTGTAAAAGATACTTTAAGAATTAAAGAAAAGATTAATAAGACAATATATACACGTAAAACAAAATCAAACTTGTGACATTAGACAGTGGAGACTTTCTGTCTTAAAGAGGCAAAGGGACACCCTGTAGCCACCATATATGGTGGTTCAAGATAAAGCATCCTCTAGCGCACAAAATCTCACTTACAGATACAGAAAGAGGAAACGAAGCAAGCAGAGGAGATGACTATAGTCGGCCCCAAACAACACAGCTTTGTTTCAAACCTGATGAGATACGGTCTTGAGTCAGATCAATGACTGGTGTCAAGTAAGTAGCTAAAAAGAGAAGACCCCATCGGGACTATCACTGATAGTGACATGCACATGCCAGAGGAAGACAGCAAACTACTAGAAAGCAGAGCAGGTGAGCAGGCAACATTTAAGCAAGTTTTGCCACACAGTCTGCTCCATCCTTCTGTAAGCCACCTCTAACCTAAAGGTTGTGCAACCATGTTAGTTTAGTGCTAAGCTCAACATGCAAGCCCTCAAAGTGTCATAAACCTCAACAGTCGTTTTAATCTGCCCATTACAGGATGACTCTGATGATATTTCAACTTGAGGTTAAAAGGAGGTATTAATTCACCAATTCTGCCCCTGCCATTAGGACTGTAAAGACAGCTGCTTATTGTGGCTGCTCTGATATTGTGGACATAAACCAAATCAAATTAAATAGGAAAAACAATGATTTATTTAAATTGAGCAGCTGTCAGATGGTAGCAGTTTCTAATTCTTCATTATCCAAGACACATCCAATCCAGAAACCAGGAGAACAGATCTCTCTTTGCCAATGTTTGCAAGCAACATTTTTGGATCTCTCTGCATTTCCAAAATGAAACCAGCTAGCATCAACTACACATTTTAACACGTTACCACTGACAAAACCAGGTAGATACACCCGTATGATACTTCCAGCATTCTCTTTTGGTCACCTACTAGAACAAATTGTTCCCAAACTTCCTGGCCACAAACCACTAGATTTCTCATGGAACCTTACACATAACCGTGATTGTACAGCTCCCCACCCTTAACGGCCATGTAATTTTTGGATTATAATCTGATCCACAGCCAAAACCAGACTGCTAAACTAACAGTCTAGGTCTTCCTTTTCAAATGAACATGCTGTGTAAGATGCTTCCATTCTTAAGTCTGATCCCATTCTACGTTCTGATCCTATTATTCACTCAGTTTATGGATAAGCATGAATTCTTTCAACTACTACTTAACCATCTCTCAATCACAAAATCTTTTTCCTGCTATTTAGATGATGGCTGAGCCACAGCAGGACTATCAGGGACTGTACATGGCTGCCAACAATTATAAAATGGCTTCTTTAAGAAAAGTAGATTACTGGTTTCCTTAAACCAAGCCATAGTCAACTTATTACTTCCCCATACCTAACTGTCAGTTCTGAAACTCAAGAATCTACGCAAGTTTTAGGAGACTGTTTCCAGCCAGCCAGGTCATGGCCTACAGCCCTGAGGGACACTTAAACAAAGCCACCTGGCAACAGGGTCCATGTGTCTGTGCCCACTGCCGGACTGTTCTCTATCATTTTGTGTCACTCAGTTACTTTTTATTTCAGTAGTATGGTTGAGTAATCTGAGAAACACAGTTGTACGAACTTCACTTGTTTCTTTCTTACGGTATTGGAAAAAGTGATATCCTGTGCTCCTGCAAGTCCAGAGATCCCCTGGAATCTGACCTTTCCTGTACTGACGCTGGAACACTTATAAAACCACTGCCAAAGGCTGCAAAACAACATGAGCTGAATAATCAAGAACCATATGACGGTTCAAAGTTTCCTCCGTACAGCTTACGTAAACAGGGTCAGTTGACCACCCGAGACTGGATAACTGGAGAAAGGTTCTCATGGAAAAAATGGCAACATTGCCAGAATGAGGCATTTAGAAGAACTCTCTGCATATCACAAGCAATATATCACACAATGGACATACAGTCCTGTGGCAGACAACATGGCCCCTTTGTGCAAGATACTGCCATAAAGTAACACATAAACTTAGAATATACTGACTTCTTTACAGTAGTTTTCTGTGGCTGTACTTATTTTAGAGATTAAAAGAAAAAAAAAGTAATTCAAAATTCAGTAAACAAAGAAACACTGAACATCCAAGGCTCTCTACAGTGCTGAAGCTAAGTTCAAATGCAAAATTTGTGTTTCTTAAAAAAATTCTCAGCACAATCTATGTATCTTGAGAAGCATTGCCTGCCCTATATGATAACTATTTCCCCAACTGTGATCCAACAGAGCAATTAACTTACAAATTGGGGGCTGGAGTAGGTGGGAATACACGAGAGCAGAACAACTCCATCATCTTGAATTCAGGACTCCTTTCCTAACACCTCAGGCCTCAGAAGTACTTAAGATATTTCTGTTTCTCTCTTATGCAGTAAATATGTGCTAGTCTTCTCTGATAACACTGTTTAAATATTAGAACTTAATAAATGGGCTACAGACCCCTAACGTACACGTGAAACGAAGACAAAAAGTAAGAAAATAATTTAAGATCTAAGAGAAATCAGGGGGGCTGGTAAGGAGGCATGAACATGTGGGAAAAATAACCCTATAAATTAAGATCTGTCTAAGAGGCAACTTAAGATCATTTTTCTAAATGAAACATTTTAAAGGTATGAATAGCCATTATAAAGCTAACTATTAGAAGAAAATATTGGCTGCTTTTCAGACTAAGTATTTTATTGCCAGCAGAATCTACTATGTAGGATGAATGGCTTGCATAATTCTTGGAAAGGTGAAAGTAACTGAACAAGCTCTTCCACAAGCAGAATTGATTCCTCTGCACGTTTAACCACTCCAACAGTGCGATACTTTCAACTCCTCCCTCTTCCCTGAGGGCAATCTCTCTTCCCGCTCTTCTCTTCTGCTCTCCAGCTACTGTCTGGTAAGACTTGCTACAGGCTTTTCGATGCACGGCACATGCCAGCTGGCTCCTCAGTACATGCTGGTCTGGTGGCCAGCCATCAATACTGTGAAACCTGTAAGAACTTAGAATCTTCCACACTTTGACCCCTGAAAAGTTCAGTTAAAACTAAAAGGGGTAAAAAGTGGAAGGGAAGAAAAAGAAAGGAATGAAAGAAGAAATGAGAAAAGGGAGGGAACAGACAGTCAGACTAATAGTATAACCCTACATGCACCTGTACTCCAGAAGCCAGCCCTTCCCCAATGTTCTTCTATAAAAATGTGTAAAAGAAATAAAGTTCTCTAATTTGTTTTTTCAAATAAGCTATTGCACTGTATACCACATTTGATACTTGCATGCTAAGGTAGGTTACAACTGTGAGATAGCGCTCTGCTAAAGTGACACCATTCATCTGTACAACACAGAATCGGCCTCTCAAAGAGTTACACAGTAGTGTCCACGAAACTTGAAGAGTCAAGTCAAGGTGGCTCATTTCCACATTTACTGAACTGGAGAAAGGACGCAAAGTACATTTTCTATAATTACTAATGACATTGTATTTCTCCTTTATTCCTTGCAGGTCTCTTCTTGCACCAAATGAGGCAGAAAGAGAGCACTTAGTTCTTGAGTATTTATTCCTTTTCAGAGAGGGAGAGGCATATAGCCTCCCTAAGCCTTAGAAAGAATATTGTATCCACATTTTGGTCTGCAAATTGTCCTAGAAGCTCTTCTAGAGTGGTCATAACTACGAAATCAGTTAAATAAAAACACTTTCTCAAAATAATACTACTTTGGCCTCAGTTGCCTTTGTTGCCTGCCTCCAGATGGGGAATGGAAGCACAAAATTAAGGGCTGAAAAGTACAGCCTAATTTTAGGCTTCAAAACTGAATCACATCAGATCTGCTTTTAAGAAGTAAGCAGCTAGCTGCTTGTTGCCTGTACGCAGCAGCCAAAACTGCTCATTGTTTCTTCACAATAGGCACTTAGAAAATTAAAAAAAAAAAAGTTAAAGCTTCTTCAATTTCCAAAAGGCCTTTAACAGACTTCTTTATCAAAGTCTTTAAAGAAACAAAGCTCCTATAGGATAAGCAGTAAGGCTCTCAAGTGGATGAAAATATTGGTTAAAAGACAGAAAAATGGGGGCCAGGAATACAGTACTATTGGTTTTCAAAATTCATGTCACCAAGGGACTTCCCACAGGCATCTGGGCTCAATCCTACACATGCCAATACACCGACACGTCAGATAAGTGATCTAGGAAATAGGGGTGAGAGATGAAATCACAGCGTTGGCTGATGCTGCTAAACCATTCAAGGAGTAAAACAACTGACTGGGACCTGCAGGAGCACCTCATGAGCGAACAAGGGAAATGCAATTCAACACAGACTGCAAGGGAAAACACAGTCCTAACTTAACGTATTAACTGCCAGACTCAGAAGTGGTACCTCAGAGCTGTAAACAGCACCAAACCAAACTAACCAACCCATCTCTATGTTTACTGAGCCTAGAGGTACCTCTTCCTTACTACCAGGGTAGTCAAACACTGGAACAAGCTTCCTAGAGAGGTGGTTGGTGCCCAATGCCTGTCAGTGTTTAACAGGCATTTGGACAATGCCCTTAATAACGTGCTTTAATTTTTGGTCAGCCTTGAAATGGTCAGGCAGCTGGACTAGATGATCACTGCAGGTCCCTTCCAAGTGAACTATTCTATTCTATTCAACAGCTGTTAAAAAAAGCAAACCAAATATTAGGAATTTTTAGGCAATAAGTAGATGTGAAGGAAATTATTACACCACTTCATAAATCCATACTGCTGTGAATGACTCTGGGAAGCTGTATACAGCTTTGCTTCCCTTCTTTGAGACAGACGCATATATACAATGAGACCTCTCAAATCATGAGTAACATGTAAAAGCTGATTAAGAAAAACTGTTCATTTTCTTCCTAGACAAGAGCAAGGGGATATTGAGTGAAATCGACAGGAGACAGTCTCAAACTGCATAGTCTCCACACTCTGATGGGGGATGTTGCAAATGCCAGATTTTTACATGGGTTCAAAAAACAATTAAACAAGCTGATGGAAGAGAACACCAGTACAGATGGACGATACCACTTCTCACTCAGAAGTCTGAGCAACAAATCACTAAATTCTCACAAAACGTTTTGGAAGGTATCACTGTTGGTTTGTCCTAGCCTTACAGTCTTTACTGGATCCCTGCTGCTGGGGACAGGACAGAAAACAGAAGAGGTATTTGTTAAATGGACCTTTAATGTACGATTAGGAAGCACTAACAAAAGATCAGAGCAAAACTGTAAAGTTAACGTAGCATATGTGCAATTTCAAGTCTGCTTTTTATAAATCAAACAACAAAAGAGGTACAAGAAATAGTATAAATACTGGCATTTTTGTTCACCAGCTACTTTGGAACTTTGAAATTAAATGTGTAAGTTGCTAAAGCTTGAACTAATGGAGTAACTGACACCAGCACCATGTTGTGCCTATTGGCTATTCACTCTAATTAAAATTCTTGTTTGATCTCAGTCTCCTACAGGCCGTTCCAGTCTCCACCACAAAGATTCTTTGCCAGTTGGTCCCTGGTCTTTGCCATCTCTCTCCAGAGATCATCGCTACAGTGCCTTTCAAAGCCAGTCTACTCCAGCACTTCACTTAAGTCCTTTTCATCTTTTGATTTATCCTCTGACCCGTCACCTTTAGTTTCTCTGTCTAACACAATGGATCTTGTCAGGTCTGTCACTGCACCAGTTGGCCCCCATTCCAATCTTTTGCATTGTAACTACCAATTCCTCCAAACTCATCCTCTCCTTTTCCAGTACCAATTTCTGCTAAGGGATCAAAGACTGATTTGCAGGTTTATTCACCAGTAAGTCTCCCAATCATAGTCTTTGATCCCTTAATATGATGCCCTTCTGGAGAAAAAAAAAGCACAAGGGAGGCCAACACACTGCTCTTCAGAAGAGGCAGAGGAACTGTCAGCACTCAGAAGAGCCACTACCTCAGAAGCTGAGCTCTTAAAGTGTTCCCTTTTCCATCAGACCACAACACAGCTTAACAGCATTTCCAGTGTTTATCTACGTCAAACAGTAACGCACCTCACTGCTATGTTTGTATAATGTGTAACTGAAAATTTAGGAAAAAAAAGTGTGTTTAAACACACATACCCCCAAAATTTCTATGACTCTATACCTGTCTGCCAAAAGAAGCACATTCATACTGTGGCAAAAGGTTTGCTTATGTTCTTCTATAGGATACCTATAGCTAAGTACTAAGGTCAGCTGAAGCCTGCCTAGAAAGTCCAGTATCTATCAAGGTTTTACAAACCCTCATCTTCAAGGGGCAGTACAGAAGCTGGTGACAGAATGGCAGATATGGAAAGACATCTGCTTTTGACAAGCATGTGTCAAAACTTCACTTCTGTTAAGCAGAGCAACAGTGAGCGGGATGCAGAGTCTCAAGCTGCAGTGCAGACAGCACCACAGAAGGATCACGTTCGTTCACCCTGCAAACGGTACAGCTTACACACGAGTATGAATGCCAGCGGCTGAACCGAAACGCAGAATGGTCAGTATCGGGAACTCAGACCACCTGGCAACACTAAGGATGTGGCCTTCAGGGAACTGTTACGGAAACTCCAGTCACATAGGAAGTAAATGTTTGTCTGAGATTTATAACAGAAGCTCCACTGGATTTCAGTACAACGAGTGAAGGTATTCCTGAGATGATATTAAGGAATAAAATCATGCTCATCCTTAACCCCACATGGCTTCTGCTTTACCTTTCATTTGGAGTAAATCCTATGCAGTAAAGTATGCTACAGTTCAGGTTTTGTTTCATTATTATTCCTAGATCCATATGTAGACACTGATACGGTAAATTGGAAATATACAGCAAAAAGGTGGCACCTGAAAATGAGGCTCCTTGAGTATTCCAACCAATTCTGCAATATTTTCATCTTTATTTACTAAGGGACTGATGTCTTCAAGGATTTCATTCACCAACTCCAGGTTGTTGTCACTGACAGCCTCAAGTTTAGAATCTTCCAGTCGCTCATGAGCCTGTAAGATTAAATATATGAGACTATACTGTAAATAAGTTTCAAGTAGTTCCAATTTATAAACTTTTTAAATAATTTCTTGGTACAACCTTTAGCAGGAAAGCCAGAAAAATTACATATAGGATAATCTGTACATTTTATCTTTATAACTGCTGAAGGATTTTGCATGCTTAACTACGTGACCCAACAAAATTTACAAGCAGCACCTGTCAGAGATGCTGGTATGTCCTTATTTCGTATAATCTCTATGCGATATACACCATACATTCTCCTAAACAGTACAGCATTTCAGAACTTTTCTACTTCAGAACGCAGTACAAGTACACCTTCTAGAAGGACAAGAAAGTGAACCATGGTATCTGCTCAGGAAAAAATAAAGTCTGCAAGAGAAGAATTTACCCCAGGCTCCTCCTATTCAAACACCCTCAGAACAGCAAATTCTAAAGGAAAGTCTGCATAACTAAAGGAAATGCTAAAGAAAATCCTGCAGCAAAGGCGGCTAACAGTATCTTGGGCTGCATTAAGAAGAGTGTTGCCAGAAGACTGAGCTCTACTCCACACCTGGAGTATTGTGTACAGTTCTGGGCACAGCAGGGAGAGTCCAGTGAAGGGCCACAAAGGTGATGAAGGGACTGGAGCACCTCACATTTGAGGAAAGGCTGAGATGAGAGCTGGACTGTTCAGCCTGGAGGAGATAAGGCTGGGGGGGGGAGGGGATCTCATCAATAGGTATAAATACCTGAAGGGAGGATGCAAAGAGGATGGAGCCAGGCTCTTTTCAGTGGTGCCCAGTGACAGGCTCAGAGGCCATGGGCACAAAAACAAAACACAGGAGGCTCTGTCTAAACATAAGGAACCACTTTTTCCACTGTAAGCATGACTGAGCAGTGGCACAGTTTGCCCAGACAGGCTGGAGTCTCCCTCCCTGGAGATATTCAAAAGTCCTGGGCAACCATCTCCAGGCGACCCTACTTGAGCTGGGGCGCTGGAACACATGCCCTCCAGAGGGACCTTCCAACACAATCATTCTGCGGTAACTTTTCATCTCTTTCCAGAGCTATTGCTGCAGACATAATCCTTTCTTAAACAGTGCAGGTACTTAAAATTCATCGAAAGGTAGGAGCTTTGAGCAGCAAGAGAAATATCCATAAATCTGAATGCCTCATTTATTGCAGGTAGTGCTGTATCATTAGGAAATAAGAGGAGGCCAAAAATAACTAAGATTCTCAGCACCCTCAATAAAAAGTTATTTACAACACTGTAGCAACAAGAAGTTCAAAAAAGAACAAAACACTTTGGCATGTAAAAACACAACAAGTAATATATATTTAGGTGTCATCTATATATGCTTCCCATATATGTAATTTGAGTAAATATGTAAATACATATATGTATGCTCACCCATCTACTTTCTTACTAGCGCTTTAAAACAGATGTTAAAATAAAATTTTGCTAAAACCAGAAAACTTTTTTCTGAAATCATCTGAGCATTAAAATGTACTTCATATCTATAAAATGGTATTTCTGTAGGCCTCATGATCAAACACTGGAAAGGCTAACTTAACACAGAGAAAGACATTTCAAACATTCCCCAACACCAACACGCACAATCCAAATGACCACGATTACACAGTCATAGGAAGCTTGGCACCTACACACATTCTCTTTAGTAAAGGAATGTTAATTTGTACATAATACATACAGCAAACGATATCCTTCTTTCAAGGCCAGGTATATACTGGGAAACAGTCAACAACCTCTGATCCTGTAATATGTTGGGGAGTAGCAGGATATGGAGTGCTATGTATAATGTAAAAAAACAAAAAACAACAAAAAACCCAAGGAATACCTAACTTAGATATTGCGATTGGGTTTTTTTTTCATTCCAGTTCATCATTTCAGAAATAGCGAAACTGAACTGAGTCTTTTGATTCAGTCAATATTTATTACCTGGCAAATGTTCAAATAGTAAGGCTTTTGCGTCCAACAATCCGACATTCTAAAAATGGACTCGATGTTTATAGATTACTCCTAAGATGCTTCCTCGGTCTGGGTTAGGCATTCACCTGATATGCTGCAGGCTATGCTACAATACTAAAAGCAATAGTGAGACTGCGGAAAATAAGATAAAGTTTTGAGGTCCAAAAGAACAGAGTAAAATTCATGCATGTTCCAAATTCAGCAGCTCTTCAAAAAAGTGTAAATTCTAAAGGCTACTTAGGATTGAACATAAACCTCAGCACAGGAAAGACCTGGGCCTGTTGGAGCAAGTCCAGAGGAGGCCCACAAAAATTATCAGAAGACTGGAACACCTCTTCTATGAGGACAGGCTGACAGGGTTTGGGTTGTTCAGCCCAGAGAAGAGAAGGCTCCGGGGAGACCTTATTGTGGCCTTCCAGTACTTAAAGGGGGCCTATAAGAAAGATGAGGAGGGACTCTTGATCAGGGCCTGCTGCAATAGGACAAGAGGTAATGGATTTAAACTAAAAGAGGGTAGATTTAGGCTAGATATAAGGAAGAAATTTTTTACAATGAGGATGGTGAAACACTGCAATGGGATGCCCAGAGAGGTGGTAGAAGCCCCATCCCTGGAAACATTCAAGGTCAGGTTGGATGGGGCTCTGAGCACCCTGATCCAGCTAAAGATGCCCCTGCTCATGGCCGGGGGTTGGACTAGATGGCCTTTAAAGGTCCCCTCCAGACCAAACTATTCTATGATTCCATCATTCTATAAATGTCAGTAAATTATAGGAAAATACATTTTACAGTGATTACAGTTACTTCCCCTTTCCCCTACCACCTATTAAAGAATGGAAAGGTCCAGTAAAAGAACCCTACCCCCACAAAGATCTGTAACTTCTACATTGATGGCTTTATTCTAGACAGAAAAAGTGTGAAATGAACTTAATGCAATTTTAAAAGATTAGCTAAACTTTGCATTGCAAAATATTATAAACTAACTACTATGCTTATTGCTTGCCTTCATTTTTTTAAGGACTGAGAAGAAAAAATAAGCTTGTATGGCTTGCAGCACATTTCCCTAAGTTTCTTTTTGTCCTTTTAGGGATACTTCACATAATCATTAGTCTTAATAACTGACTAATAAAGGAAAATGAAAAAGCTTTTATATTTCTGACCTGATCTGAAGTTAATCTGCTTAAATAATCTGACCATCTCAGGTTTCTGAGAATTGCCTATTCTGTTAAAACTAGCTCTTCTAATAGAGAATCAAGTTTTACATAGTTTGAGAGGCAAATGGATATATACAAACTATATGTACTTCATGAAAGGTGTTGTTGTTTTGATCTTGTCCTGATTTAGCTCTACTGGTTAGCACTGAGTTTTTGGTTTAATTCCGAAAGAATTATAAAAGAAAATACGAGTGCGGTCACGCCATATGAACGCAATTAAAACCTTTCAGCATTCTAGATAAAGCAAGTTTATAGTTAAGAATCTGTTTCCAGTATAAGCACTTTTTTACATCTGCTAGTCATTAAATTTCACATAATTGTAATTGCCCATTAAAGCACAAATTCTTGATAAGAAAAAAAAAAGTTTCACAATGAACATTTTCTTCATGATAAATACGAAATTAAAGATGACCTACGCAACAGATACTGACGTTGGAAACAACTCTAAGTAAGAGTAAGCTTTTACTTACTCTAGTAAATTTAGTACACAAATCTTCCCCTCTGCAGTCTTCTCACTAGCAGATGAGACACTTCCATTATTTCTAAGTTTATTACTATACAATGTCTTCCACTTAAAACCAATTTTTTTTTAACAGCTAAACAGAAGTAAATTCTTACATTAGTTCTTATGAGAAGTTTTCCTTTCCAGACTTTCATACTGAGCAAAATCCCTGCACAACAATCCTTTAGCTTCACGGAGTATTTCATGGCTGCCCACAGGGCATTGCTTTCAGATGTCTAGTCATACTAAAGAGACAGCTACATTTAAGTTAACTGGGTTTTCCTTATTTTTATGAAGTATTTTTATTTTATAAAGTATTCTTATGAAGTAAGATTAAGGAATGTAAGTGCTGTGCAATATTGACTGCATCTCCTACTGGTAAGATCAGCTATATTTTAATTACAGAGTCCAAAGATTTTTTGTAAATACCACCTTTCATATTTGTAATGGATTGCTACCATCTATAAACAAAAGATTTTTATGATGCAAGACCAAAACTAACAATAGCCCACATCTCAGAGAGCTGACAATGAAAGGTCCCAACATTACTCTAAGATCCAGGAAAGGGCATAGAGAGAACATTTCACTGGGCTGATCAGAAAGTCATTTTGAGCCACAGACAAAAAGAAAACTTGTTTCTGCCATGGGAGAAAGAAGGTTATTGCTCTCACTTTTCATCTTTGGCAAAAATGCTGAAAGACAGAAGGTATATGGGTTTTGCACACAACAGTGGTCACGAGACTATACTAAAACCAACTGCTTCTGACTTCAAGTATTTTGACATTTTCTTCATAAATAATGTTACCACATTATTTCTGGAGTCTCTGAATTTTCCTTCTTCCTCTAGAACCTTCCATATAACAACAAATCAGTATGCACAGAAATTACATTATACCAAATCTTCACCTTCAAGAACTCCTTTAAACCTTTTAATAAGACATACCATACGTAAAAGCCACTGTTAATGCCTAAATCCATGCTCAGTGTTCACACAATAATGTAAGAGTTAAAATATTTCCAGATTCTACTCAGAGCAGCAAGTTTAAATACCTTGGCAAGTGATCTTACAATAGGGTTTTCCATAATTCCTTTAAGAAAAATCAGGTCTATTTCTTCAGCGCCTGTCGATGTCGGCAGATCAGTAAGGTTATCCAGGACCTGCTGCATGGCTGTTGACAAAACAAAAACAAAAAGTAAGTACTGACCAAAATAGGCTTGCACAAATAGCAAATGCCACAATATTAACTTTAGAGATGTTAAGCAGCCTCTACTGAGAGCAAGTGGACAGAAGGGAAAAAGAACTTTTGTTTGCCTGTTTGAAAGATGGAAATAAAGGATCTATCCAAAAACTTTACCACCACAATCAACTTCAATCCAGGCCCAGCACATTCCTTTCAAGATTTGCTACTACTTGAAGATTAAAAAAAAAAA